GTCCATGCTGAAGATGGGCCCACTGGGCCCGGCAGGCTGCCCTGCTTCGCCCTCCTCCTTGCTTTGGGTGTTCGCTGTCATTTCTCGTTGAATTCCAGTGTTCTGTCAAAGTGTGATTATCTGCTCGCTGTTTTGCTTCTGCTTTGCGGAGGAGGCAAGTACCAGATGCCTCTAGTCAGACCTCTTGAAGCCCTGCCATGAGATTTTTTAAAAAACTAAATTATGAATGACTGTTGAATTTTGTTGAATACATTTTAATGATTGTAATGAGCCTAATATTTTATTTTTTGTGTTGTTAATGAGTAAGTGACATGTATCTATTGCTAATATTAAACTCTTTTTGGATAAACCTGACGTGGTCACAGGTGTATTATCTTCTTCATATACTGTTAGAATTTGTTTGCTTATATTTTGTTTAGGATTTTTGCTTATACATGCATGAGTGGAATGGACCTGTAGTTTTTTTAAATTGTATGTCCTAGTCTGGTTTAGGTATTAAGGTTAAACTAGCCTCAGAGAATAAATAAGGGAGTATAGAAAGAAAGGATGTATCCCCTTATTTTGAATATAATTGAAATGATCAGTTCCTTCGAAGTTTGGTTGAATTTGTCTGTAAGACTTTATGTTCCTACCTCCTTTTATTTTCTCTGAGGGAAGATTTTAAACTGCTTCAGTTTACTTAACATTTATAAGACTATCTGGAAATTTATTCTTATATCAGTTTTGATAAATTGTATTTCTCTAAGAATTTTTCTATTTGTATCCATGTTTTCAAATTTATTAGCATACAGTAGTTGATGTTGATGTATTCTCTTTTTAATGTCTGCTTTATTGAAGTTATGTTGACTTTTTATTCATAATATTATTTATTTCTGACTATCTTTCTTTCTTTTTCTTTTCTACTGGTTTTACCAGACTTGTCTGTTTTGTTAGTCTCTCTCTCTCTCTCTTTTTTTTGCTTTCTCTGCTGCCCGGGCTAGAGTGCTGTGGCGTCAGTCTAGCTCACAGCAACCTCAAACTCCTGGGCTCAAGCAATCCTTCTGCCTCAGCCTCCCGAGTAACTGGGACTACAGGCATGTGCCACCACGCCTGGCTAATTTTTTGTATATATTTTTAGTTGTCCAGCTAATTTTTTCCTATTTTTTTAGTAGAGACAGGGTATGACTTTTGCTAAGGCTGGTCTCGAACTCCTGAGGGCAAACGATCCACCCACCGCGGTCTCCCAAAGTGCTAGGATTACAGGCCTGAGCCACCACTCCGGCCCTTTGTTAGTCTTTTGAAACAACCAGCTTTTGCTTTGGTTAGCTTCTCTATTGTTTTGTTTTCACTTTATTGGTAGCTTTTTAAATCTTTATTATCTTCTTCTTTCTACTGTCTTTGAGTTTACTGTTTGGTTCTTCTTCTTCTTACTTTTAAAGTTACACTTAGCTCACAATTTTCAGTGTTTCTTCTTTCCTGATGTAATTATTTAAAGCTATAGAGTTCCCGTAGCCAGTTTTGCTATATCTCAGAAGTTTGGACATAAGATATCTTTATCATTCTGCTCAAAGAATTTAAATTTCCATTATAATCTATTATTTGATCCAGGAGTTTTAGAATCATGTGTTTCTTCAATCTGGAATATTCTTAGCCACTTTCTTTTTGAACAGTGCTTTCCTCCAACTCTCTTATCTCTCTTTTCAAAACTCCTACATGTATGTTGAAACTCCTTATATAACCTTCCCTGTATTTCTTTAATAATTCCTTCAATAATATTAAACATATTGTTAACATAAAAACATACAGAGATAAATTTCTAAGTAAAAATGTTTTCTGGGGTAACAATATACAAGAAGTATGATTGCAATCCAAGACATACATACAGACCAGGTGACTTTTGGTATATGCAGAGAACAAAGGAAAAGGTAAGTTTTATTAAGGAAAGAAGAAGTTAGGGGACAGGTATATTCACACCGAATGGGTGTGGTGCGCACCGTCTGGGGATGGGCACGCTTGAAGCTCTGACTCGAGTGGGGCAAAGGCAATATATGTAACCTAAACATTTGTACCCCTGTAATATGCTGAAATTGAAAAAATAATAAAGTACTATGCAACCATTCAAAAAAAAAAAAAGTTACACCAGTTGTTCTGAAGTAAGTTCATTGGCCCTGACAGCATCTGACAAGAGCTGGTGAGTTCTGATTGGCCAGTGTCAGTGGTTGTTAGGTGGGATCTGTGGTCTTGGGTTAGGGTTGGGCTTGAGAGACAGTGTGTCAGGCAAGTATTCTTGTAATAACAGGCTAGTTGTCCTTGTGCTGTGAGCATTCCTTATGCTGCTGGATGTTCTTGTGTGACTCACATAGCAAGTTGTGGTTTGGAAAAAGTTCTTGTGCTGGTTCCTGTCAGACAATTCTTGCATGAGAACCCTGCCTTCATGGGCTTCTCTGGCTCCATTCTGCCAGGATTTGACACTCTACTTTGAATCTTATAACTTTATAGTTTCTCTCTGATTCATCTATGACAGGGGTCCTCAAACTTTTTAAACAGGGGGCCAGTTCACTGTCCCTCAAACCGTTGGAGAGTGCGCACCGTGGGCCCCGGACCAGTGGGCTGCTAAGCAGGACAGGCAGCGGGGGCAAAAACACCGGAGGGCCCGAGGGAGGGATAAATGTGCTAGGCGGCCCTGGCCTCCAGCCTTTGTGATGTTAGTTCTCCTGCTTGCTTTATCTGCCACTTTCTCTCAGTTTGCGTCATGTCTGGTGGTGTTTGTATGTTCTGACTGTGAACTCACCTGCAAGTGTTGACCCCTGTGGGTGTCCGGGGTGTCCAGGGTGGAAAGTGGTTTTTTGTTTGATTCTGAGGAGCTCCTTTGGGTCTTACTGACTCAGATCAATTTGGTTTTTAAAAGTTATTGGCTTGGAGGGCCTGCTTATGTAAGTTGTATAAATTCAATCTCCTCATCCACATATGGCATAAGTTTGTGGTTTTAATTTTTCATGGATATCTTTCCCCCCATCTACAGCCCTGAGTGGATGGTAGGCTTCCTCACTCCTCTCCTGGGCTGATGAGAAAAGTTTTTCTAGTCCTTGTCATGTGGTTGTGACACCTCTGGGAGGTCCTGGCTTTGTGCAGGGCGTTTAGCTGCTCCCCAGCCTTGCATGGGCTGTTATGTCTTCTCAACTTGCGGGGATGGCAGCCCAGCTGGGGCCACTGGCACCTGTGTCTGGTCTGTATGCCTTTAGCTCCTGCTTACTGCCATGCTCTGACATTCTTTTTTTCTGGAATGTGATGATTTGCTTTCTTTCTTTTGAATTTGACTATATATTTAAGAGAATTTCCCCCTTGTGTGTGTGTTTTTGTAAGAGGAGGGTCCTTCTGTATCAACTGAGCCTGCCATTATTGTTGTTCCCTAGTGTAAGAAATAGAGACCAAGGACAGGGGCCACTGGCATGTAAGGGACAGGATTAGGAACAGAAATCCCTGAAGGAGACGGAAGCAGGTGGTTGGAGAACAAGGAGAGAGCTGGTCTCTGGGAACCAAGGGGGAACAGAGCTTTTGGAAAGGTCCTTTTATGTGATGTGAGGCCAGCTTCTCCCGGGGATGGCATGCTGTTTATCCTGCAGACTCAAGAGACTTCTGTGAAAGGAAAACTGAGAGAAACACTAAAGCAGGGAGATCAGCTACATTTATAAAGGGAACTCGAGGCACCCTCTCCTCCCTTCTCCTCCCCTCCCCTCCCCTCCTCTCCTCTCTTTTTCCAAGGAGAACTGCTTAGGAGCAATTTGGAGACTTCTAGTTGCTCCTACTGGGAGGACTCTCCCTGCCTCTTGTCCCCACATCTACCCCACTGGGAGCGTCAGGTGATTTTGTACCTTGGGGTTGGCTTGCCTGTCTGTGCCTCTCTTGGTGTTCGTCTCCGCACACCTGGGTATTCAGGGGCCACCCGAACACATGTGATCAATACGAGCAAACCCACATTACTTTGATCTTGTTCCTTCTTCTTCCCTTCGCTCCTCCCGGAATGTTCTTAGCCATTATCTCTTTGAGTAGTGCCTTTCCCGCATTGGAATCTTGCAAATCCATACACTTTAAGGTTCTTTGTAGGCTCAAATTGGAAAGCATTTGGGCTTCCACTTGGAGGGATCTCAGCGCTGACTCTGGATGTCTGTGGCTGTGGAGGACATCTTGCAGCTTGGGGTCCGTCTGTGGATGTGCAGGGCAAAGGAACCTATGCGTGCATGTGTCTGTGAGCCTGTGGCAAGAATGCTAGGTTTTCACTCACTTCCTAAGCTTTTAAACAATGACCGTCTCATATCATCTCTTCACAGTCCTAGAAGCGAGTAGTGCTGATATCAACATTCCAACTGTATAGATGGAAAAACCAAGGACTAGATAGGTGAAGTGACTTGCCCAGAGCCCACAGCAAGTAAGATGCCTGCCCCTGGGTTTATGGGGCAGGCATCGCGCCAAAGAGCCTGCGCTCCCCTCCCCTCCATGCTGCCTAGGCATGTCCGTGCAGGTCGAGAGGAGACACCGTCTCTACACCAGGTTTCTGCCAAGCCGGCCACCAGCATTCCTTGAAGCCTCCCTACCCCTGGCCCCCATGCATGGTGACAGGCCACACATCGAGAGAGACTCCGTTCCCTTCTCCCTTTGCTTTCCTGGCCTCTGTATCTCCTAGACATCGGCTAATACTACTGGCAGATCCCAGACAAAGACAAATGAATTGTTGACTCAGCTCAGAGAACTTGCAACATTATATTTGATAGTGTTTCTGGGTGGAAACAATGGCTAACACCATCTTCCTTGGCATTACTTTTTATTGAATACGGACTTACAGTCTTTAAATAATTTATATATGGTGCTTTCAATATACAGGTCTTTAATCATACATATATTTCTTCAAAGCACAAAACTATAAATTAAAATTGAAAGGCTATACACATATACATATTGCCATAAATTTAGAACTATTTTATAAAAATAGAACTCAAATATTACTTTATATATTTTAGCAACTTAGCAGTATTGTAAGGTGGCCACATACATTTTTATTATGCATCACTGTTTCAAATGACTGTCTCATTTCCTGTCTCTTTGGGGACACCTGAAGCCAACTCCTTTCCCAGGGTCCCCACAAAGATGCCCATGGCCATGGCTCAGCATTGCCTTTGCATAAAGTCTCAGTGCACCCATCTCTTCCTGGAGGGGGAAGACCAGCTTCCAGCCCCTCCTCAGAGAGAGGAGGTGTTCCCTCCTGCCAAGCATCTGCCACTTCTTGAAGTGCATGGTTTGATGTCTTAATGTACAGAGTAAGTTCCCTTTACCTGTGCTTGGAGAACAGAAGAGATGAATTTGGGTCTGTCACATCAGTATAAATAGTTTAAAAGAAAACCAGCCGAACAATGCCCACTGGGCTCCGGAAGGTAGGCAGTGCTGCCCACCCTCTCATGCAAGGTCCTTTGCACACATGCTCTCTGATCTTCATAGCCTTGCAAGATGGGGACATTCCTGTCCTCATTGGACAATGTAGGTAATTGAGTTTCTTAGCATTTAAGTCACTAAGCCAAGGTCAGTGGGGCTGCCTGACCCTAAAGCCAGAGCTCTCTGCCTGCCCAGAAATCCATGGACAGAAACGAAAGGAGAACTTGGATCTGGACTGTGGTCATTTGGTGAGGACAGACAAGTGGCTTTGGAATGGGTAGTCCACCTGCTGGTCCCCAGACACCCTTGGGACCCTCAGGCTGCAGCTTCCCAAGGGGAGCAGGAAGGTGGCCATGGGAGGGAAGAAGCATGGACCTGTTACAGACCAGTGACTTGACTGTTCCTTGGAAGGGCAGGCCCACATCTCCCACATGATCCAATAAAAAAACCCCATCTAAAACCAGGCAATGAGTCCCCTGCTGAGGCTGCTGGTGTTTCCAAAGAGCCAAGCAGGGTTAGCTCTTGTCCTACTTCACCTCAGCCCGCCTGTGGCAATCCAGGCCACCGTGTGAAGAGCTTCCCTGGGCCAAGCCGAGTGCTCAGGATGACACGGACCGCAGAACTGCAATGGAGGGAGCTCCTCCAGGGACACACGCGGTGGGGAGAGTGGCACTAGCCGCTCGAGAGCCCAGCTCTGCGCCACCCTCTGCTTTCTGTGGTTTGGACATTTCTGGTTCTGTCCTGGTCCCTTCCCTTTGCCCTTTTAGATGTTCCATAAAAATGTGCCCCAACGGGAAGAGCCTCTCGCACCTCCTGCACCACCACAGGCTCCCAGGACACGCTCAACTTTGACCCAGCTGGGCTGCCTGTCCTGCCTCCTGCCGGGGCTGGCTCTGGGCAAGCCATTCCCTCCTCTCAGCCCGCTTGCTGCCAGCTGTCCCCTGGTCCTCAGGCCGCCGGAGAGCCCTGCTCCGGCTCCTCCACTCGGGTTGCAGTCAGAATTCCTGGGTAGCGTCCTCCAAAGAAAGGAGCCCAGCTGTCTAAGGATGTCTTGCTTGGGCCACTGAGATCATTTTCTGAAATTAATGTAAGGGTGGTTTTCTTAAAAACCTGTTTCTTCAAAACAACCACAAAGTAGAAAAACCAAAGCAAGCCTCTGTCTTCTCCACCTACTGGGCACACAGTGTAGAGAAGGGTGGGAAAGATGCAGAAAAATGCAAATGGCGGGTCCAGGGGAAGCGCCCCATCCTCCCTAAGCCGTCTGTGCCAGGTGCCACCTGTCCAGGCTGTGTGCTGTACTCGCGGTGCACGTCCCTGGTGCTGCCTGGGAGCAGACAGGGGCACCAGCTCCAAGGCGGTTGCACATAATCTTCTCCCCTTTCAAAGTAGCTGGACACAATTTTCTGAACTCAACGGAAGGCTGCCCCTGGGAGCAGAGGGGGAAATGTGTTTGTGGGCCACCCCGGTCACCATATTTTAAATGAACATGGGCTGTGTGTGGTGTGTGTCGGGGAGCAGGTGCTGGCAGGACCGTGGTTTGGCGGAGGCACTGAATGCCATAATCAAAATGATTTGAATCTGAAAACAAAGCCTCCTTCTCTAGAAAAGGTAATGACCCAGAGCTGCCTCTTCCTTCGTGATTCACTTATGTACACTGCATGCAATTGGATGCCTCATTCTTTCATTGGGCAGAAACATCACCTAGACACGCTAGGTCCTGCTGGGGAAGGAAACATGAACGTAAGCTTCTGAGGACCACAGAGGAAGATCCTTAGTGTGGCTCCCCACGTCACCCAGGCTGCCTCCAGAGTGGTCTCACTGCCCAGGCAGAGGGCACCTTGAATGACAGTTTCCATGCATAGCCTGGGACCCTTTCCTACCCGCTCTCCAGCTTGGTGTGATGCTTCCACGTGGTCTGTGGGCTGGGCCCTGAGGCTGGGGAGCTGCAGGAAGCCGGGGTGAGGGATGGGTGTGCGGATTGGCAGGGTCTGGGGCTGCAGAGGCGGGCTTGGGAGGAGAGACTTAGTGGCAAGAGTCAAGGTTGGTGCCCCTGGCTGGGCCTCATGGCTTTTTCCTTTGTTGCCAGTGGCTTGCCCTCGGCAGGCTGCGGTGGACTGCAGAGGCTTCTCATGTCGACGAGGCTTTCTTGCACAGCCTTCGCAAACTTGGTAGAAGAGGTCTCTTTGCAGCCGTGAAAGCTGGAGATGCAGAAGAGGATGGTCTCTGGCTGGGGGTTGTAGCAGGCGCCATACCCATCGGGGACCACAGGGCCATAGCAGCAAAACATCTCCATGGTTGTGGGCACCTGGAGAAGCGGACAGGGCGAAAGCTGCCTGCTCTGAATTGCAGCCTGCGTCCCGACACCCAGGCCTCGGCCGTGTCTTTGCTTCCCTGTTTGCCACCAGGGGAGGCTGACTGAATTAACCAAATCGACCGATTGCTTAAGCATGGATGGACACAGCCAGAGTCATAAAGATAAACACATCGAACTGCACACATCGGAGGAAGAGGGGCCTCGAGCCCGCTCCCGGGTGTGCAATCTGCTCTACTTGCGGAGCTGGAAGCTCCCAGAATGACCCGGTGCTGGATCTCGGGCTGAATCTCCCCTTCACCTGGGGGCAGTTTGAGGCATGGAAGCAATCAGGGTAATTTACTAAATGGCACCCTGGTGGCACCCAACAGTTAGATGCTTCCCAGAGGGAGTAATTTATGAACTAGAGGAAACCTGGCCCATCCTCTCTGTCGATTTCCCCGGATCCTTAATTACTGTCAGTACTGCCTGACTGCCCGGACGTGCTCCTACAGCCCCGCCACGCACAGTTACCCAGCCCCATGCGTTTCACAGATTGCCAGCAACTGGAGTTTTAGTTATGCACCTAATATGTTTTGAATTCAGAGTGCTGAGATTTTGTAATCTGTATCACAGATCAAGAAAGTGTGTTTCTAAAGGCATTCAAGCCATACATAAATGCTACTTTCTGGTTGGAAAACAACAAAATCCCCACACCCCAAATTAATTTTATTAGCTGGTCTTAGGGGAAAATAGAAAGGATCCTGTGCAGGGGCAGGGTCTGGTTTGTTTTAAACCCACAGGTTTCTTGTGCCGTGTACTCGGGCCTTCAGAAGTGACACTGGCCACTTTAATGGGGCAGAACAAACCATCAGTCTTGCGAATAGAGTCACCGCATTGTTGGATAAATTTGCCATGCAAACAGCCGAAGGCCATAAAGCCATTCCAAAGCACTTTTTGCCCATGGATGGTTTCCTGAAGAATTTATGTTGTTGTGTTCTGCCCCGGGCTATTCGTAGCTGCGTGCGCACTGCCCTAATGACAAAATCAAATCACTGAGTGGGCTCTTGTCCTCACACACAGCTTTCTCGGTCCCTTTTATTGCCCACGTCCAGCTGTTTGCAGTGAGGTGGAGGGTTAATAAATTGACAGTTGTAGGGTATTTCCTCAACTCTCCTTTCCCTAGCAGATGTCATCCTGTCTTTGTGACAGTGGCCCTCCAACAAAACCAGCCTGTAGCACTGGTTGGGAGACGTTAGGCTGTAGCTAATGTGCTTGGCCCTTTATAATATCACCCGTGACCTGTTTGGAGGGCCTGTCTGTGTCAGGCACCGGGCTGGGTGTTCTTCTACCTTGTCACATCTGGCTCGGCCAAGACTGCACTCTGGACCTGTCAGGCGTCAGAGCCCGTGGTCCCTGGAAGGCCCCTCTCGGGTCATAGCTTGGAAGGTGGTATCGCATAATGTCGGGGTGCCAGAATGGGTGTGTTCCCATCTTGTCGCCACTTCGGCTAAGGAGGAGCCCGTAGTTACTCCCATTTAGAAGATGGGAAACCGCCTCCTAATCAGCATGTATATCATGTTGCCGAAAGTCACGTGGCTCATCAGAGGCAGAGGGGGCCCACCTGACTCCCGCCAGGGGCTTGTAACCACTGAGCTCTTTGGAAAGCGCACTGGTTACACTGCTCTCGGGCGATGACCACGCGAGGGCTGTACCTGGCTGGTGGAGAGGACAAACCGGTTGCTCGTCAGGTATGTTTCATCCGTGAACATCTCAGGCAGTTCCTCGCACACGTCCCGGGCCAGCTCCCGCAGCGCCAGCAGGTGGTTGTCGATGGCCATCCCTGTTATGGCCTGGGTAGTCGGGAACAAAGGACAGGAGATGACATGTGGGCTCCCCACACCTCCTCTTCCCTTCCTCTCTAGTCCACAAGACTAACGGTGACTCCAGTGGCCACAGCTCGTGCGTGCCCAGTGCCTGCTGCTGACAACGCGTATGAATGGCCGCTCGGGACAGACCGCTGTGCACACTGTCTCTGCTCCTTGGGCCCTTGCATAGTTCTTCATGCATAGCATAAGTTCAGAGCAGACTGGGTTCTAACTTGAGACATCTGAGTTAAAGGCAAGTGAGTCTGAGAACCCCCTACACACCAAAACCCATAGCCACGCGGTGCTCGAAGTGGAAAGGGTGGGGCTGGCATGGCCGCCGTCATTACAGCCTGCTTTGAGAGGGCGTTGGCGAGGGGGCTGAGTGCTGGGCCCAGGGACTGCTGGGTCCCACCCTAGCATCAGGAAAGGCGTCCCAGGCTATCCCGGGCAGACTCTCCCAGCCAACACTTTATCCTGCAGCAGGAGCCCAAGAAACAAGGCATAGGGGGCGTCAGGTCCGCTCCTCAAACTTGCCCGCTGTTCCATGGGCTCAGGATCAGTTAAATGAAACTGGGTTCATAATCTAAGAAATCTATTTGAGACTGGAACTACACACCTTAGCTGAGGCCCAGCTGACAGTTTCAAGGGGAAAGAGCTAGTTGAATGATGAAGGATCTTTTTCTTTTTATCATAAGATATTTAAACTCTAATCTAAGGATAGGATAATAGCAGTGATGGCTCTGGAATTTCAGTGTAGGAGGGGTTCAGAGGGATGGTGAGGCTGGAAGTGGGGCCAGGGTACCCATTCCACATCTCTCCCACTTAAAGCTGGGTGTGTGGTATGCACACTGATTTTTTTGGACCACGTTTATTTGGAGCAATTCTGGGGACCGATGGAGACTCAGGGGGCCACCCCTTACCTATAGCAATAATGTTTGGGTGAAGATCAGGATAAATGTGAGTAGCCCTTGGGGTTTCACAGGTATGCCAGATGGCCATGCTGCTGTTGGAGCCCCACACAGGCGGAGACCTCCCATCACAATGTGCTTGGCTTAGGTTTACAAGGCACGTTTTGGGGTTTGACAGCTGTTTTCTTTCAGTTGAGAATGAATTGCATGAAGATGACTCAGAGGCTGCAGTCTCTCTGAACGTACCTAATTATGGGCTGGAAAGATGTAAGTTACACAACCACAGCTCACTTTAGATGTGCCCCGTTAGGACAGAGGGGAAGAACCTCGAGTCTGTCTGTTAACATCTCTCGGTACCTCTGCGTAATCCCTGATTTGTGTGGGTCCATAGAAGCAGCTGCTTTGTAGCCAGCTCACCTCTGAGTTAACTATAGCAAGAGGGGTTGCGTTAACCCATCACTTGGATGGAGCCATGAGTAATGAGTAAAATGACTCAGCCTTCAGTCTTTCATTCATTCATTTAGGGACTCTCAACTGAGTGCGAACTATATGCCTGATGCTGCCCAGTCCTAGAGCCACAGAGAACAAGGCAGTCATAGACTCAGTCCTCTTCTGGAGCTCATGTGTCACGGGAGACAGATTTTCATCAACCAAGCAAATAAACATTTGATCAAAAGCAGAAGTGAGTGCTAGGAAGGAAAAGCACAAAGTGCTGGAACAAGCTGTGGGGGAATCAGACCACCTTGCCCGCCGCCGCTGGAACGGGCTTCTCCAGGGCCACTGCCAGCTGCGCTACCAGTCATCGGAGGTTTTCTTGCTGCCTCACCTTTCCCCCACCCCAAGGCCAACCAGGCACCAGATTCATCTCCCAAGCACCCTGATCTCTCTCTTCTCCCCACCCCGTCTCTTTGATTCAGTTGTTTTTTTTTTTTTTTTTTTTTTTTGAGACAGAGTCTCACTTTGTTGCCCAGGCTAGAGTGAGTGCCGCGGCGTCAGCCTAGCTCACAGCAACCTCAAACTCCTGGGCTCAAGCGATCCTCCTGCCTCAGCCTCCCGAGTAGCTGGGACTACAGGCATACGCCACCATGCCCAGCTAATTTTTTCTATATATATTAGTTGACCAATTATTTCTTTCTATTTATAGTAGAGACGGGGTCTCGCTCTTGCTCAGGTTGGTTTCGAGCTCCTGAGCTCAAACGATCCGCCCACCTCGGCCTCCCAGAGAGCTAGGATTACAGGCGTGAGCCACCGCGCCCGGCGATTCAGTTGTTCTTATCAAGTCAAAATCATTAACACAACAGAACCCTATGGCAATGCTTTTTCCTGGAAATTTTCATAAATTTAAATTTGTTATCAAAGTTATATATTTATATGGTTTACAAATCCAAATAAGCCGAAGGTTTAGGTTACTTTGCCAGCACTGAGTCCCCCTCCACGGCAGCAACCCCTTGCAGCCCTCTTTAGCTGTTCCTTTCTGGCATTTGCTTTCATTGTTCCAGATTCGTGTGTAGACTACCACTGCTGCATTTCTCAGTTTCATCCATAATCCTGTTACAGAAGGTGAAACTTTAGCTCCTTATGTCCCTGCTGCCCCAACACCTGTCTGCTCTTCCATCCTCCTAGTAGAACTGTGTTTTGATTCTTTGTTGTTTGATCAATATATATCATAATCACATATAAAGATCAATATACATGCTTATAATTAAGCAAGTATTCATAGCTGGGTCATGTAGTATACTAGGATTAGATTTCCTTTCTTATTGAAATTTTTGTTTTCCTTAGAATTAACAAGTTTTAAATTATTAAATTGTGTTTTTTATACTTGCTTAGCTTTCTGTGTATCTATTTCTGATTAATTCCTAAATGGTCAGCCAGAATTCCATTCACCCTCTTACTTCTTGCCCCTCTGTGGACTGAATGCTCCCATGTCTGCTGAACAGCTGTCAGTGTGTGATCTCCTGCTATTCTCTGGGGAAATCTCATTACCTCTTTCTTGTGTTAAATCTTCTGGTTTTTCTAAGTTTTTGGTTGTTTTGTTTTGTTTTGTTTTTTGAGACAGAGTCTTACTTTGTTGCCTGGGCTAAAGTGCCGTGGCGTCAGCTGAGCTCACAGCAACCTCCAACTCCTTGGCTCAAGCAATCCTCTTGCCTCAGCCTCCCGAGTAGCTGGGACTACAGCATGCGCTGCCATGCCCAGCTAATTTTTTCTATATATTTTTAGTTGTCCAGCTAATTTCTTTCTATTATTAGTAGAGACGGAGTCTCGCTCTTGCTCAGGCTGGTTTTGAACTTCTGAGCTCAAATGATCCACCGGCCTCGGCCTCTCATGGTGCTAGGATTACTTACAGGCGTTGAGCCACTGTGCCCAGCCTGATTTTTTAAGCTTTTGGCTTCCTCTTTTATGTTTTATTTTCTCACTTTAGAGGCCTACATTCTCCAGTACCTTTATGAGAAAGAGTGCTTTACACGTAAAATTTTTGAGAACTTGTCTGTCTAAAAATGTCTTTTTTCTGTTGTCAAATTTCATGACAGTTTAGCTGGGTATGGAAATGTGTGCTGAAGGTCATTTTTCCTCAGAATTTGAAGGTATTGCTCTACTATCTTCTACTGTCCATGACTCTTTTGAGAAGTCAATTGCATCTTTATTCTGAATCTTTGTACTTGATTTTTTTTTCTCTGAGAGATTTTAGAATCTTCTTTTTGTCTGTAGTGTTGTGAAATTTCCTTTGGTATGAGTATTTTCCATCTACTAAGCAAGGTACTTGGTGAACTCTCACAATAGGAAAACTCATGTTCTTCAGTTCTGAGGAAATTTCTTGAATTATTTTGTTAATGATGCCCCCTCTACCTTTTTCTCTTTCTGAACATCTATTATTAGAATATGGTCTTCCTGGACTGACCCTCTTTTCTCTTCTATATTTCATCTCTTTGTTTTATTGGTATTTAGGGGATATTGTCTCAGCTTATCTCCTAATCCTTCCACTGAATTTTTTCTACCATAATTTCCCCCAGAGTAATTTTTATTTCCTGAACATTTTTTTAGAGTTTTCTATTCTTATATGAAGATGTAATAACTTCTTTTGTCTTTCAGACAGTCTCAATAATCATTTCTTTAAAAATGTCATCTTGTTTCCTGTATTGTTTTCAAGTTCTTTTAAAATATTAATATTAAGATTTTTTTTTAAAGTTAACAAAAGTTTTTGTGTTGGTTTCAGACTTTTATGTTAGCATCTCTTCTCAGTGTCTGGTGATCTATGGCTATCTCTTTATATCTAAGAATAAAGCACTGAAAAATGATTGGGAGATTAGTGAGAATGCATTGGTTAACCTGTGTGCTTCCCTGTGGGGTCAGCTGATGGGGCTCTTTCACTGGGGACCCCAACCATGAGTTTCTGTGTCTTCTCTCTTGGCCTGGTCAGTTTCACCACAGAGAAATCTTCTAACCTCCTGCTTGGGGAGGGGTGATAATAGAGGTGGTTCCCAGTGTGTGTGGAGCTGAGTGGCTGGAGGGTTTACTGTGGAGGAAGCAGACTTTGATCAATCCCCTTATTTTTAGTATAGCATCATGTCCCTCAGCTGTGTCTGGTATCCTCAAGTGTAGAGTCCTTCCACTTCACCCTCCCCGAGAATAAATTTTCAGCCCACCATTGCAGAGGGATGGGGTAGTAGCCTGGCTGCATGGGGTGGTAGAATGTATCTGAGTGTCTAATTGGTTCTTATATAGATCACCAACTGCTATGGTTTGAATGTTTTGGTCCCTTCCAAAATTCAAGTTTAATGGCTAATGTGGTAGTAGTCTTAAGAGGTAGGGCATTTAAGAGGTGATTAGGTCATGAGGGCTCCTGCCTCGTGAATGGAATTAAGGCCCTTACAAAAGAGGCTTCACACAGCATTTGGCTTTCTTGCCCTTCCACCTTCTGCCATGGGAGGACACAGTGTTTGCCCCTCTGGAGGGTACAGCAAGAAGGCACCATCTTAGAAGTGGAGATCAGCCCTCGCCAGACAGTTAAGATCAGATACCTTCCAGGGCTTGATCTTGAACTTCCAGCCTCTAGAACTGTGAGAAATAAATTTCTGTTCTTTATAAATTACCAAGTCTCAGGCATTTTGTTATAGCAGCACAAACAGACTAAGACATCAACCATCTTCTTTTCATTTCCACTCCACCCCCACATTTTGTGGGTGCCCCAATGCCTGAGCCATCCTGAGGTTCTACAGTGCAGTTCACTGGGCTCCCAAGCTTTTCTTACTGCTCTCTCAGTCAATTGCCATGTGTTTTACTTTCCAGCTCTAAAACTTTGTGGTCACTCATAATCAGTCTCATAAAATTTTGTGGTCACCTCTTTTCCCATTCACGTTGCCCTAGTGTATTTATGGCTTTAAAAAAATTCCTTGGCTGTTGTCTTGGAGTGGAGAATTTCAAAGTGAAATTCTCCATGTGTTTGATCCACCATGTTGAATCAGAGTTCACGTCTTCCTCTTCACTCCCTGCCCTGTTCTACCCCAGTCCCTACGCTGGCTCTCCGTCAAGATTAGAAAGGTTCCTATTAGTGGCTCTGCCTCTCAGCAAACCAGTGCCCACTCCAGCCAGTCCCTCTTCTACCCACTCACCAGAGGACGCTTTGTAATGGGGAATCCAACCTCTCCTGCTCCTCTGTCCTTTGCAAGCTGCACTCACTGAGCTACTTGCTTTTCTTTGAATGTGTCCTACTCTCTCAATACTCTTTGTCTTTGCACATGCTGTTCCCTTTTGGGCCACAGCTCCCTTCTGTGTGTGCCTGTAAGCCTCTCTTCACCCTTCATGTCACATAGTAAGCACCACCCCTGGGAAGTGTTCCCAGCTTTCCCAAGCAGAGGAAAGAGCTTGCTCCTCCATGCTCTCTGCTACTTCCTGAAGGCTTTTTTCATGGGGTTGGGCTTCACATCAACGGGCTCTTCCTCCCAACTACGTGGTTGCCTCCCGAAGGACTGGGCATGTGGACTGCATTTTTTGCTTTCTAGCACCTTGCCTGGCTAAAGCAGGAAGACAAAAAAATGCCTACTGAATACATGAAAGGATGCTTACTTTCTCCCAAACAGGACAAACACTTAACTATTTAGAGGAATTAGAGACCTAACAACTGAATTAGATAAAAGTCTATATTGGCTAGTTGTAAAATCCTGAAATGCATTGTACTTGCTTTCAAGAATATGGAGTGAATTTTGGTCAACTCCTTTTCATAGATTATATGATCCTTCGAAGATTGTATTAGAATGACTTGCAATTAATATATTGATCACCAGCCCAAGTAGTTGCTTATTCTCTATTGTTTGTATGCCAATGATGGCTTTGCAGTACCAGAAAATAAATTATTTCCTTAAACTAGGGAAACATTCCCCTTACAATTTTGATTTCACCATTAACTTTCAGCAAAGACTTTTTATTTACAGGTAGCATAAATAAATACAGGGAGAACAAGAGGCAAAACTAGCCCCATATGGGAGTAACTACCGCTGCGCCTGAGAAGGGGCAAGGCCTGGTAGCCACCAGCACTGGCGGGGCTGGAGGCCGCCCCTCGCACTCGACTTCTCTTGCAGTATAAACAGCGAAGCGCTATGCATATTAGGTGCTATCAGTGTCCTTGTGGCTGTTTCCAAAGGTTCAAACAGCACTCATTGTACTCCGTATAAAAAGCAGGAATGGTCTGTTACTTAGGTTCTAAAAATAAGAAAAAGGAGGCAGAGAGGTGGGGTAGCCTTGCCAAGTCACCAGGCGGCCGGTGGTGGTGGCCTCACACGGGTCCCCTGCCGTGGTCGAGCTCCGGCAGGCCCTGGGCACAGCTCGGACGCCGCCGTGGTGGCCGCGCGACAGCACTCACCGTGACTGTGTACTCGGTCTGGGCGCGGACGGCGTCCTGCAGGAGCAGCAGCTTCTCACGATCCTGTTAACCGAGCAGAGGGACAGCGCACGGGCTCGGACGCCGCCCGGCGACTCGCGGGGCCCCGGGAGCCGGTGGCCAGGGAGCCGAGGGGACGGCCCGGGCGGCCGGGCTCTCGGCTCCGTGGGACAGGGCGGGACTCACCTGCACGGCGGCCGCGCCGTCCGTCATGGCCCTCGCGAAGGTCAGTGCCTCCGGAGTGGCCGACCTAATGTTGTCCACGCGTCCCTCCTGGAACCGGCGGATGGACGCGCTCTCGTAGGTGGGCACCAGCCTGCCGTGGAGCCTGTGCGGGGTGGAGGATGGGCGAACCGCATTCACTCCCAGGCAACCACACGCTGCAAGGACAACAGCCTCGCAGGCGCGGAGCCCACGCACGCCCGCGAGCACCGGACGCACGGGACCCGCGCTCGTGTGACGCCGACAAGCGACTGGGAGTTCCTAAAAAGAGTTCCCCATCTGGTGGGAAACCTAGAGCTTTCTGCGAGACTCAATGAGTGTTTGATTAATAGCACAGAATGGAATAATTGTGCAATTAATCATTCATACTCTTGAGGGAATCCTGTTTATTTAAAACTGTTCAGGCATGACCCTGGCTGGAGGCGGGAGGGGCTTTAGTGGTGGCGAGCCGAGCACAAGCTGCCGCGCAGGCCAGGCCGACCCTTCCAGTAGCGCTGCCTACAGCCAAGGCCACCTCCCTGATGCCTGTGACCTCCGGCCTCTACCAGCAGGGGAAGCCCTTTTCTTACATGTGGGAGCGGGGCCAGCATGCCTAGGCTTGGGCACCTGGCTGGCACCCACCCCCTCACCAGTCAGTAGATTCCCCAGTGTGGTGGCATGGGAAAAAAGACAAAGCTCAGAGAGGGGCACAGATAGCCCAAAGTCACACAGCAAGCTGTGGCCCTGAGTCTCAGCCCTCTGGGAGCACTGGGTGGGCTCCGTAGTCGGAAGGCCGAGTCTGGTTCTGCACCGTGTGGGGCACATCGTGCTTGGTGAGCCAGGGCATAAGCTCGGCGTCTCCCAACACCTGCAGGGAGCTCCCCTCCTGCACCTCTGTGGGCCCCAGAGGCAACGCTATCGCCAACCCCAATCTAGGCAGCTTCCAGGTTTCTGCTGGCTCTAGAAGCAGATTGGAATAATGGTTTGCGCTATAGCTCAGACTCTGAAGAATGCCGTCCGGGATAGCACTGGCTATTCAGTGAGCCCGAGAGCCTCTGGCTGCGTCCATTCCTGGCCTGCCCAGTGACTGTGACAGGCCCACTGGAAGGTGGAGGAGGGGTGTGCCATGCAGGCTCCACTGGCCCCTCCCAGCTGTGGACCTGAAGCTCAGAAGTGCTCACAGCAAGTGGTCCCGGTGGCCTCCCCAGTCTAGGCTCTGGCAGGACTCTGACCTCATGGTCCCCCTCCGCCTTTTGCCCTCTGAGTGTCTCAAAGCATTTATAACGCCTCCAGATGGCAGGTGGGACCTGCCACATCTCAGTGCCTGTGAGGTTTCTGCATCTGTATGTCTCCATGAGAGCCCAGTCTTCCTGTGGGATGACCTCAGCCTTCTCCAAGTTGTCCTGACAGGACGGCCACCCAGAGTGGCCTCATTCACCTCCCTGAGAGCCACAGCCCCACAGGGGACACTGGGGTGCCATGTCCGCACAGATGCTGCCTGCTCATGAGTGAGACTCCTGGCCCTGGCTTTATTGCAGGGTCACCTTATGCCTGCCACAGTGCTGCAAACTGAAAGCAGGTTCAGGGGACAGCACCGGACTTCTGACCCAGACAGTTTAGGAGCTGCTGCTTCTGGAGCCCTGGAACCCGCAGGAGCCAGCCCTGTCTTCTGTTTTGCATTTTGGTTTTTCCCACCTCCTATGAAGGCCAACAGGCCCCTCCCCCTACCTTCACCCCTGGCACCCCACTCTTCACCCCTTCCCCTAACGCATAGTTACCAGGGCTACCTCTGGAGAGTTTTTTCTAAATCCCAGCCCTGGCCAGGCCAGCCCTGGCCAAACCTCACATCTGTGATTCAGTCCCTGGCACCTACTCTATGCCAGGTATGGGGCAGGCACTACAGACACCCTGAGACACCCCGAGTGTCAGGGTTGGGGGCACTGTCCAGAAAACAACGTCAACAAATCAATCAACAAAGCACTTCACACCAGTAACAACTTCCTTGAAAGAGAAAGAACACAGGATGTGGTCTGCTGGAGAATGGGGTGGCTGCTTCAGATGGGGGTGGGGCTCTGGTGAGGCCTGGGATGGCAGGGGCTGGTGTGGGCGGAGCCGTGCTGGAGGGAGAGGGCTCAGGGAGAGCCCAGGTGAGGCCAGTGCACAGGGGCCTTCCAGGCTTTCATTCTGAGCTGGGTGGGAAGCCACGGGAGCCTTCCCCCTGGGGAGTGATCTAGTCTGATTTGCATGTTTCAAAGTTCACGCTTCCTGGATTATTGTTAGGTAGGGACCAGGAGGAAGGGGAACAGATGCTTTGTCTAGGGAGTTCCACTGAGAAATAGATGGCACTAGGAGATGCTTTGTCTACAACAGGAGGAACAAATTGACCAGAGGGGGCTTCCAAGAAGGAACAGATGACATGTCAAGGGGTCTTCCAAGGACTGGACAGATGTTTGGTCTGCAATAGTGGGTCCCCAGGGACTGATCAACCAGAAAGGGGTAGGAAGGACACAAAGTGGAGATATAAACAAGGCCACAAGAGTATCTTTGGAGAATCCCCACAAGTAAAGTGACAGTATCCTCAAGTGACCTACCCTCATTAACATGGTAAAAATCATACCCACCTGCACCAGGACAGTTTACAAATACCATGGCAACCTCCAGAAATTGCCTTGCAAGGTTAAAAATGGGGAGGGCTCTCAGTTCTGGGAATTCTCCACCCCTTTCCAAGAAAAACCATGAGGATTCCACCCCCACTTAACATAAAATTAGGGAATCAGCATAAAAGAGAGAATCTTATTAAACTCAGGGTCTCCTCCACTTGCAGGGGTTCGCCCATTCCTTCTCTAGAATGTACCATGCTTTAACAAACGTGAGCACTTTGCTCCATTGACTTGGAACCAGTAACCATTCTTTGGTACTGGGAGCCGAGAACCAGGGAACATGGACCTGACATCTGGTTCCCCCACCTGACACTATGAGGGGACACCCTGGGAGTGTGCTGTGGTTGCCTGAGCATCAGATGAGGCGGCTTGGGGAGGAGCCGATGGCAGTGGAGGTGGAGAGCAGGGGACAGGGTCAGCAGCCCCTTGGGGGCGTGCTGACATGGAGGCTGGGGGATGAGAGGAAGGGGTGAGTCAGGAGGAGTCCAAACTCTTTCACCTGGTCCCATTTCCTTAGCAAGTGGGGAAGGCTGGCGGGGAACAGGCTACAGCCACAGGGCTCTGGTGCAAGAGCAGCCTCCTTTCTCCCAAGGTCCTCAGCCCCCCAGCTCCGCGATGCGCCCTTGTAGCTCTGTGACACTGGACCGTTGCCCAGGCGGTTCCATGAGGCCACGTCCTTCCTTCTCTTTTCTGGGGTTGGATTTACACTTGAAACCCAGTCCGGGCGGCACCTCCTTCCACACAGCCTGCCTTGGTCATCTCCCAGTCCTGGAGGTCCACCGAGACCTACAATCTAGAGCATCCTGTCAGTCAGCCCACCTGGGCGCAGACCCACCCACCTTTGCTCACCTGTAGAAGGCCAGTTGGAGGGCCACCTGGATGAAGGCATCCGGGCTGCACTTCTGCTTCTTAATGAATGTTTTCCCGTAGTTTTCAAACTTATAAACAGTGAAGTCGAGATTCTTTACTATTCTGTGGGAGGGAAAAAAGATGCTCTCATTGCATGCAAAATGGAATGCGTGCGCAGCAAAGCCCGTGCGGTTTCCTGAGGTGGGTCTGTGTCCCTGCCCTCAGGAGTGTGCTGTGGCGTCAGAGCCGTGCCTTGACCTAGGACAGTGGCGGGAGGCACGCCAGACCAGGGCCGCTCTGTGCTGCAGGTGGGTGGGGGGTGAACCTGACCGCAGCGGCGAGGCAGGGAGGGCGCAGCGGGCAGGGAGAGACATGTGATCGGCACAGAGCACACAGACGACGCTGCCCGCACACAAACCCTGCGAGTCCCTGCCGGAGGCAGGCCTGACAGAGGCCCTTCATCCAGCCTGTCTGCGGCCGTGTGCAGCCTCCCACGGTGTCCCCCCCCAACCCCCACCGTGGAGCTTGTTGCTCAGGTGGCCACAGTGGCAACTCCTCCCAAGACATCCCTGCAGTGCTGGGGAAGGAAGGTCCTGGGTTCTGGCTGCTTGTCACCATCGCCACAGCAAGGGTGGCTCCTCTGGGGCTTTGCCAGGGGCTGGATCCCATTTTATCCAGAAACTGCTGCTGAGCCTCCAGCGACAGGCCGGGGCCCTCGCCGCTGTCAGAGCAACAGGAAAACCCCCGCATCCACACGGAGGCTCTTGAGCACTGGCCACTCCACGCTGACAAATCTCCTCCTTCCAGATGAGTCTGGGGTCGGGCCGGCCGCCCACTGAGGCAGTGTCCAGAAGGTCCACGCCCTGCCTACCAGTCGTGTGTGAGCGCAGACTCCTGGGCGGATGCCCGCGCCCGCTCCCCTCGGGCCTCCGTGCGTCCCGCCTGCCCCTCCTTGAATCACTGCTCCTGCCTACAGGGGCTCACTCAGCTCTTGGGGGCCATGCTGGGGACTGGAGGCCCGGGGGGGGGCGGGGGTCGGAGGAGCCCGGTTCCCATGGGGACTTGCCCCGCACCCTGCCTGCTGACACGCTCCTTGGACAGACTGAGCTCACTGTCTCTGCAGCCCCTTGGAGACTTTTCGCAGTCGTGCCCGCTCAGACCCCAGCCCTCCCCACAGTAGCTCAGGACCCCCGAGGCTCCTCCTGTGTCCCTGCCCGGAGCCTCTCGGCTCCTCTGATCCTTAGAGCACATGGGATCCGCTCAGGTCCTCTAAAGTGCGCAGGCCCCTTCCTCCCCTCGGGACCTCCCGGCCACCAGCTCACTGCTCTGGCAGCCACCTAACCCCCGAGCAACACGGCGAAGTCTCGATGAGAACATCACTTTGTAGAAAACTTGAGGCTGCCCCTCCCTGGCAGCTGTCCAGCTGTCCCTTCGGGGTCCCCTCCACCCCTGGCCTCCTGGCCTGGCCATACTCTGCTCTCACATGCACTGTTCCCCCAAACCCTGGCACAGAACCCCCAGGGGCTCTTCACCACCAGCAAGGCAGTTCTGCAGGCTCCAGGATAGGACAGTGAAACTCTTTACAGTGTGGCCACAACTTCCCTGTTGTGCCCCGACTCTGGCCATTCTCTCACTTGCTGGTCTCCAAACCAGCCTGGATCATTATGAACCTGTACAGACTTGAACAAGCTGCTTTCTGCCTTGTTCCCATCTGCCTGCACTATGAACTCCTATCCATCCTTCAAGGCCCATCTCTGCAAACCCCTCCCTCACTATGTGGCTGAGTTAAAGCTCCTATCTCTTTGTGGGTTCAGATCTGCATGGCTTTCTCTGGTTTCAGCACTAATCTTATTGTGCCACATATGTTTTGGTCTGGGGTCTACTACCTCCACTAAAGTGGAGTGATGGCCCCATGGTACATAAATTTCTGTGAGGCCTGGCATGTGTTTGATGAATGAATGAATGACTGCACTCATGCTCACTTACTGAATGAGGGAATGAACAGTGCAGACCTGGTTGCCAGCCCAAGGCTGCCAGCACAGCTGGCCACTGCCCCAGCACCTGGCTCCCCAGATGGGCTCACCCATCCCCCGCCTGGATCCCGTTAGGGCCTCAACGACCCCCTCCCCTTGGGGGAAAAGGGCCCCTTGTCAAGTTGCAGTGTAAATTCAAGCAAATTGAAATAGCTTGGATTCAAATGACCTATTCAAAACAGTTGTTTATTACTCTCGAAAGCAGGGGGTGATTTCTCAGCTTGACTCTGCTCAGTCAGGTGAAACCTGCCAAAAAAAATAGCTCCACGTTTGCATTTTATGGAAATAATGGATACTTCAGCAAGGTTATTTCCCAGGAGTTACAACTCCCCTGTAGTTTGACTGCATTTCCATGAGGGCAGCAGTGGAGCTGGGGTCTTTGGGAACTTCCAGGGTGCTGGAGCAGCTGGGGGTGCGGGTGGCCCCCAGAGGACCACCTCCAGGGAGACTTTGGCCTCCTTACCGTTGAAGGTTTTCTGCGGAGGAGGCCAGGTGGCCTTGAATTTCCGGGGAGCATTTCCACCTCAGCCTGCGCGGGGCTGGGAGCTCGCTGACGGAGTCTGCTCGGACCAGCTTCTTGCTGCTGTTCATCCTGCAAGCGCAGAGAGTGACCTCCTGAGGCCCTGCCACCGGGGAGCCAGGGTGCCGCACGGGTCTCTGCCCTCCGCAGTCACCTGAGCTGTTGGTTGTGTGGCCGTGCAGTTTCAGGGGGTACGAGCTGCCCCTGAACCGCGGCACAGAGGAATAAACTGAGGCTCAGAGAAGCCCCCAATATTAGTATGTGGCAGAGCCGGGCTTCCAGCCAGTTCCTCCCGACTCCAAAGACCATCATTTCTTTCACTTTTGTCCTGTTAGATCACGAGACACCACTAACACTTGGAAAGACACTCAAGAGCGAGCTGTGTTCTGTTTGCCAGGGCTGTCTGTCTGTTGGGGTGGCCCCAAAGAGCTCTGTGGAAGAGCCTGGTGGAGGACGTCGATGCAGGGAGAAGGCCTTGGAGGGAGGGGCCCTTTGTGGGTGGAGGAAGAGCACGGTGTGTGTGAGGCCCGGGTCAGCACTCGGCCCGGCTCTGGCTCAGACTAAACGACAGATATTGGCCTGGGCTTCCCCTCTGCTCACTCCTCACCATGCCTCCCCCTGACGGCCCTGGGTCTGCACCTGCTATCCAAGGCCTGTGGAGCACATCAAGTCTCATTCTTGCTGGGTTTCCAACCGCCCTTCGCTAAGACACTTTGCAGACTGAGCCACACAGTGGCCACCCCAATTCTTCCCAGCTCTGGCAGCCTGCCCCACCCCCAGACTCACATGTGCTTGAGGAGGTGCTCCGTGCACTGCACCAGCACGATGCCATCGAACGGGGAGTGTTCGCACACCACGCCGCAGGTGCCGTCTCGGCCCACCACAAACTGCAACGGGCAAGAGGGAGTGGGCGGACCCTGAGGCAGCCAGCGTTTCACACCAGCCCCCCGCTCCAGGTCAGGCCCCCCCAGCTTCTCAGGGGCACCCTCCTTCAAGGACACCAACACACATTATTTCCCGAGGAGAACGCTGAACAATGATTGCGGTGGCCTGAGAATCTGAGAGTCTCAGGACAGCTCTAAACTGTGCAGCCTCCTTCCCATGCGGGCTCTGGGCAGGGCAGGTGCAGCCCCAGGCCCCCGGGCTGAGGCAGTGCAGGGATTCCTTTGCGCTCACACCGGGTCCGCACGGTGTCCTTGTGGCGTGGGCGAGCCCCTCCAGCCTCTTTCAGGCCTGGTTCCCCTTCCTGCTGCACATTGCAGACGTCATCCTGCAGTGCTTGGGTGACAGTTCATCTGGGGGACCCCGTTTGTCTCAGCCCCACTGGTTTTATTCCCGGGCGCTAGAGCAGAGTCCACTCTGTAGTAGATGCTTGATAATTCTGCTGAATGAGTGAAAATGAAAGACGATGATCTGATTTGGATGGTAAGCAGATCCCTAGGGAGCAATAAAACATCCCTCCAGGGCATAAAGGAGAGGTGCAGAAATGGTGCTCTGTGGTTGCCGCCTGGGCCTCGAGTCAGGGACCCACACCCTAGTTGTGCTCCTGACGGGCACTGGAGAGCCTCGACGAGACTCTCCAGCCAGCTCTCTGGACTCCGTTTGCTCTCACTGAAAACGGCCCAGTAGGGCCCAGCTCACAGTCGAGACGAGGAAATGAGACGAGGCGTAGGAAGGATGCACAGGAGCAGCAGAGGTCACTTACGACTTTTCTAAATGACTTTACAAAGACCGCATTGAGCTGACTTGGAAAAGGAACATCCACAGAGCACGGAAGTGGGTATTTCTCATGGAGAAAATAATGAGAAGGACAAGATTTGGTTCTCAAAGTGTAACCCAAGCAAAGCAGAGCCGCCTTGTAGCTCACCACACTCAAGAGGCCCTGTGCTCTGTCCGCAAACAAATCCAGTCTCCCCGGCTCTCCTCCACGCACCCCGCCCACACTGCCAGCTGCCTCTCCGAGCCCTCCCGTCCCTGGCCCTGGCTGTGTGCGGGGCTGGATCTTTACTCCCGCTCTTCAGACAACAAACTTCCTACGGAGCTTCTCCCCAAACCCATCCCCTCCAGGCTCTTCCTCTCCCCTGCGGCCCTGCTTTTCTGTCCTGAGATCAGCTCTCCATCCCTTCGAATTCAGGAGTCTCGCCGGCTTCTCCAGCTCAGCTCCCGGATCCCCCGCGCTGCCCACAAGCGCCCGGACGGTACAGCCTCCCCCACGGGAGGCTGGCAGGGTGCCCCTCCCACGCGCCTGCCTCCCTGCCCCTGTCTCCGAAGGAAGGGTGGGAGGTGTGTCCTGCAGGAACTGCTACCCAGGCTCCCTTTGCCCCAGGTCCTGCGCTTCCATGACATCACTCACCCCCACAGCTGCTCCGTGAAGGATGACAAGCCACTCGCACCACTGTGGAGGCCAGAGCAGCTGGCACAGCAGCAAGGGAGCTCTCAGGAACAGCAGAATCAACATGCAAACCAACACAAAGGGACGCCTGCAGAACTCGGGACGGACCCGAGGACGCTGAGGTGTTGTCTAGACGTGCCTACCAACGTGAGCTAAGCTGACCCGACGTGGAGACATGTTTGCTGCCTTTTACATGGTCATTGTGAACATGTCACGGCTTTAAAAATGAACAAGACTGGATTCAGGATGGGCATGTTGGGGGGGAAAGGATGGAGGAATGGAAATGAATGGTCCCACCGTGACGTCCTCCTGTCTGCATGGATATCTTTCTCTAGACCAAAGAAATGTCCTGTTTCTAGGCTTATGTTGTATGAATGAAAAAATATGAGCTATTTCATTTCAGGACTTTTCTTCCGTGGAGATGCTGGGCTGGCCTCCTCCCCGGGGTGGAGGGAGGCGTGCGGAAGTGGCCAGGCCCGGGTGGTGGGCATTCAGAACAGCTCACAGCTCCGGCGCCACACACGCTTGCTGCTGCGTGTGTTCAGGACCTGGCCAGTGGCTGCTGCACTCTCCTGCCCTGGCACACCGCCACCTTGCAGTGTGACCCCGACCCTCCTGGCACAGGCTGCAGGGAGGTTAGGGAGTTTGAGCTGGGTTTGGCCACGTGCTCCTGAGAAGAGCGCCGGCCTGTCAGGAGGTTGACACCAACTGCACCGCTCCGGCCCTTCCGCTCCCCCGGCGCCCCAATCCAGCACTGTGTGTGCAGACTCCAGCGCGTGTGCCTGCCAGGAGCGGGCACGTGCTGGCTCTGGGCACCGGGCGTGCTCCTGGCTCGCTCGTTCAGTGTGTGCCCATGCTCTTGCAGGGCGGCTGAGTGGGGCTTACCTGCAGGGACTTGTCGTACCAGCGGTTTGCCCCGTTCTTGCTGCAGCCTCCGCCGTGAAGGAGCTGGAGTGCCCTGTTGGTGTCGCTGGGCTCCACACCTCCTGGTGCATCCAGGCACACGAGGCAGATGCAGCGCTCGATCATGTCCAGCGAGTCCCGGTTGGTGGAGTCTGCAGAGCAGGTGAGCATGGCCTTAGCACCTGTCCCACCCCAGGCCTGGGTCCCCTCTGCAGAGCCCCACACATGGCAGGGCAGCCCTGTTTTCCAGGAACACACGCCGGGACTCAAATTTTGAGGCAGCCTGACCTGCAGTGGGTGGTCAGTGAAGTTGGCCAGGCGGCCCTGAACCTCCGTCCTGCCCCAGTGGCCCAGCTCACTCTCAGCATCCCTCCAAGAGTGCTGCCTCCAGCTGCAGCCACTGCTGCCCCCAGGTGTGTGAGCCATTGAGCCTTCCTGCTGGGGTGAGGGGGATGCTGGGATCCTCGGGCCAGCCCACGTCAGCTGGGGGGCCCCCTCCCCCACCCACAGCACCCTGCACTCTGGCACGTGTGAGCCACATCTATGGGTAGGAATGCTTATTTGTCCTGAACTATGATTTTCAAACATTTAAATTAGCTGTTGAAATTGTAAAGTTAGGTAATTTCTCATGAAAATCTGAAAACAGTGTGTTACTCCCCCCTGCCCGCAAGCCGTTAGCTCAGAGGCGAGTTGCACGTGGGGATGAGCTCACAGCGGCTGTCTCAGGCACGTGGGTGCTTGGGACCAAGACCAACAACCACTGGGGTGCAGGAGACCTGTCGCCAGGGAGCCCAGGCTGGACTGCAGCCGCTTCTCACATAGCTCCTGACAATTCCCAGGCCCTGGGACCTTCTCCCATAGGAAGGGGGTTGGAAAGCAAACTCCCCCAACCCCGCTGCCCGGTCACACTGAGGGAATACAGACAAGCCCAGCTTTTCTGGAGGGGGAGTTGTGGAGTCAGGCACGGAGGACTTGACTTCTCCACTGGGGACATGCATGTTCTTCCTGGAGAACAGCGCTGCCAGCCAGGTGGGCTGCCTGGGCAGCTTCTCCACCAGGCATAGGCAGGTTCGCAAAGCCCGCCCAGTGTGACTGACCCTGGCCAGGGCTGTTCCTGCTGTGTGTCCCCTTCTTCCAAACAGGAGTCTCTGTCATGCAGATGTGTGCTTTCCCCACTGTCTGACACTGGGAGTGGGAGTAGATAGCCTGCCTTTTGGTTTAAAGTTCACCAAAAGTTAAACAGTCAACCAAAACCAAAGTTTAGTGTTTTGGCTTAAAATTCCAAGGAGTCACATGGAGACCCAACAGTGATGGCTGCACATGGCCCGGAGATCCTGACCTCTGGGCTGGATGCTGTGACAAGATGAGGCACAGACTTCTCCCCAGCCCAGGGCAGGGGTGAGAGTGTCCGTGCACGGGTGCTGGGGTGCACGGTGTTTGCAGGCGAAGGGTGGAGACTGCAGCTGCATGCTCCAGCTCCTTTTCCCCTTGCTCACAGGACCCCTGGTTTTAGCCTGGTACAGGAACAACAAACTAAAGCTGTGTTTGCCAGCCTCCCTTACAGCCAAGGGGAACTAGGTATCTAAATTCCACCAATAAGATCTAGAAGCACTGTATGACAGCTTCTGGGGCACCTCCTTAAGGACAACTAGCATGCGCTCTTTGTCCTTCCCACCCTCCTCCGTTCTGCTGCTTGAGACACCAGTGCAATGGCCACAGCTTGCGTCCCACGTCGCCCTCCTCAGGCATGTGGAGAGCCCCCTTCCAGCGTGTGAGTTAATCCCTAAGACGCTTCCGTATGTCTCATCGGCAGCTGCGGATGCGGATGCTAAGGCCACCTGTGCTGCTCTCTGCTCCACCCAGGGGATTTCTTCAGGTCCACAAGAGGTGTCTACAGGCGCCCTGGCCTGAAAGGAATTCCCAGTCTCCATCCATTCCCTTCCTCATACTTTTTGCAAATCCTGGGGCAGGAGGTGTCTCCCACAGCAGGCCTACTCTGGGAGGCCAGCCCAGCTTGGGACATCTGTTCCTCCTTCTTATCTAGGATGAGGCTTTGGGGAGCCCTATGCTTTAAGGACCTCTCCAGGTCCCTAGGAGGCCAGGGTGACTTCTCATTTCTGCATGGCCTCTTGGGCTTTCCTGCCTCAATCTGATCGGCATCGAGGCTTCGACTGTGCCCTGAGGATCTAAGGTGAGTGAGAGTCGGTCCGCTTCCTCTACCCTCCGTGAGTGTGGTGCAGCCGCCACATCAGAACAGCTCCTTCTGCCCCCAAGGGAAAATCCAGACTTCTAACCACGGCACCCTGGGCTCCACGACTCACCTCTACTGTCCCTCAGGTCACCTCCCAACCTCTCCACATCCCTGCATGGGCCTCACGGCCTCCTGCTACCCTCTGATACCTGTACACATGCCATCTCCTGTTCCCAGGACAGGGGCCCTTCTCCTACTCTGCCTGTCAAAGCCCTCCCCAATCCCCCTAATCCTCTAGCAGTGCCAGCCCGGCCCTGGAGGACTCTGACACCCAGAGCTCACCGCCTCTGCAGCCTGCTCAGCACAGTGTGGAAGCTCACTCTGTCCATCAGGCCGGCCTCGCACAGTGCCTGAGCACAGGGCTGGACCTGCCCCTTTATAACCACCCATACTGCACAGCAAGTGACCCCACAGCTGTTGCAGACCCACATGCTTTGGGCAGTCACTGCCCATCCAGCACCTACAGACTTTGGAGCCCCGATCTGGTGCCCTCCCAGATGTCTATGAGCTTGCCGAGGGCGGGGCTGGGGTCCCCAGCGCGGGCTGGGTACAGGAAAGTGTCCAGGGTTGGTAATGGACTTCAGTGTGCTTCCCTTGGCCTGGCCCAGGTGAGACTGGGATCCGTGCACCCAGCTCAGAGAGGGGGCCTAGAGGTGCCCACTGGCTAATGGGAAAGGCCCATGTCCTTCTGAGGAACAAAAATCCACAACCTCTGCAGCATCGAGCACCATGGTATGGTAGGGGGTGGGGGAGGATGTGAAGGTGGGACAGCATAAGAATTTCTCCCCCTTTGCAAGGCCCCTGCTCTGCCCCTCTCCCCTCCAGTAGGTGACCCTGCAGTTGGCCGTGATGCTCAGCCCTGCACTGTGTGCTGTGTTAGGGGCCGCTCAGGTTCCCAGGCTAGCCAGCACCGTCAGAGAATGGGGAGGCCTTGGCCAGGCCTGAGTCAGGTTCAGATCAGCAGAGAGGAAGGGAGAGGCATGCCAGGAAGGATATGTGTGGAGGTGGGGAGGCTTGTAGGTGGAACTTCACTTACAGCTCGTGAGTGATGGCATGCAGGTTTAGGTGAGGCTGGAGGAACACAATGATGTGATGCTATCAGCCAGCCTTTGTGGGGCACCCACCACGTCCCTGCTATCGATCTGAGCACGCATACTGATGCGTATGAGATAGCCATCGTTATCATGCCTCGTGTACAGGTGAGGCCATTTACAAGACTGTAGTTATAAACAGGGAATGATAATAACCATCCAGTGAGTGAGGGAGCCAGGTTTGATCCCAGGCATCCAATTGCAAAGCCAGGTTCACCATCAAGGGCTCTGCATGCCAGGCTCAGTGCAGTGGCTTCATCCAGCAACAACAGGGAGTCACTGAAGGATCTCAGGCAGAGCTTAATGTGGTCAGAGCAGCGTCTAGGATACTTGGCAACTTGGGGACACCAGCCAAGGGGTCTTGGGCACCCTGAACACCTTGATCCTGCTGGCCATGCCTTGGTGAGCTCCAAGAGCCCTGGCTTGGCTTGGCAGTTGCCTTTACCAAGCTTTCCTTAGGAACAGCCTCGAGCCAGCGTTGAGTGGGCAGATTACAGCTCCGTAGAAAGCCTCCAGCAAGCCTGTCCAACGAGGAGGCTGGGAGCAGGCCTGATGCAGCCTCTGGGCAGGAGAGTGGAGCTTGGCATACTCCTTCCCTGCCGAGCCATGCAAAGCTGGGAGCAAGAAAAGACAGCTCCATGGGCATCGGTGCCCTTTCTACCCCCAGGCCAGAGAGAGGGACCCCTGAGGAGGGGCTAAGGCCTTGGCATCACATGCAGGCTGTGGCAGAGCCCAAGAGCTCAGCATCACCCAACTGGAACCAGGTCCTGGCTCATTAGATAGAGTGAAATGGGAGCAGGACAGCAAAGCTGGAAGCCAGGTGGCCTTGCAAATGAACTCCCTGCATATAAGTAGCTGATCGGTCAAATGCTGACAAGTTTATCATGTAAGGCAGTAAATGAACTACACCCAAACTCATCCACCATGACTCTGGCCCAAACATAATGGAAACATGGGGCAGCAGGCTAGAAGCACCTGGCAGGAGCCGTTTGTCTTGTGGCATCCTCATCGAGCACATCGAGGCTCGTTTAAAGTGGTAAATCAATCTTCCTCAAGGAGCCCCTGCTTAATAGTGAGAGGTGGGAATTGAGTAACAGAAGGAGCTCGCTCTAACACCCACGCCGGGGGAGCTGGCAGCTTTGCTGGTGCGGAAATTCCAGAGGCCTTGGGGAGCCCTGGGCTGCTGCTAGAGGTTGGAAGCTTATAGACTGTGACTCAGGTGAGCAAAGATAAAACAAACACCTGGTACCGCTGCCTGCGGAGGGCTGCAGAGCTCTCAGGTGCTGCTCCCCAACATGCACACTTATACACAAGCACACACAGGCACGGGCGGCCCTCTCTGCCATGCTTGCCTTCTTTGAGCTATTACCTGGGAAACTGGCACGTGTCAGATTTCTACTGTCCTGCCTGTCCTCTCTCACATAGTCCAGGGAGATGGATGCGCTGAGCTCCTTCTCAGAGGCTTAGAGCTTCTAAACCTTTGCCAATCCCAAGGAAGTACCTTTCCTCCCCAGATGAAGGGGTTGCACCTCCTTTTGGGAGGTAAATCTGCTATCACACATCCCATATTCTTCCCTACTCTGTGGCCTATGAGGTGATCTTTAAGCTCCCAGTCCCCAGAGGCCATGAGGATTCTGACAAAAGTGTTTCTCGCCCAATGAGACCTGATTCTTACAAATTAAAACTGCTTTGACTTGAGTTACAAAAGCTTCTTTTAAACAGCTGAAGAGAGAGGGTCTTCTACTTTCAGGAAGATGAAATTGACCTTTCATTATTTCTCCCACGAAAAACCCTGGATGTTATATTTAAA